CTTTGATAAATAGAAATAAGTAGGCTGTGCTAGCTAATATGAGCAACGTTTTCTGAAGCTGATATAAAAGTAAGAGGAAAAACATTGTGGCCATTGCATGTAGCTGAATGAGCAAAAAATTTAACAAGGTTTATGTTATGCACTAGCCTTATTCCTGTAATGAAACTGGATTTCACAGGGAACAATGGGCTTCATGATGCTTTGCGATTCCAGTTCTGTCTGAGAAAACTTTCCAAAATGTATGATCAACTCATGAACTTGGTGCTCCTTAGCTTTGACTTGTGCCTCATAGGACAAATTTTGGGTTTTACATCCTCCACAGTATGAAGCATATTCACAAGGAGCATCCACGAAGTCCCAATGAGGAGAAATTGTCTTTACCTTTGTCACCTGCACTTTCACCCAAGAAAATGTTTTAATCTGAAAAGTTATTAAAAAGTACATGATATAGTTTCTATTGTATTCCCTAGCCTATGAATTGTGTGGGAATGGGAAATCAATCAAAAGTCAAAACCAAATACAAGTTGCACATCATCTCAAGTTATATATAACAGCAACTTATAGCAAAGAAACATTGCTTCTGTTAATGCTATTTCTGTTTTCTTTTCCAAGCCTAACGTCACTCACGGAAAACCTCTATACATATGAACAGGCACATTGGAAAGCAATTATCCTAATACTCAATTCTTATTTTATTTAGTTCAAATAACGAATCTCCAGCAGACCGAAATTAGTGCAATATATCAAGTGATCTGCTTTTCCTTTTTTAGTGTCTTTCATGATCTAGTTTTTCAATGGGTTTCACAATTCGTGCCAAGGAACCATTAGATAGATCACTAAGCTAGAATAATTCAGTAATCCATGCCTCCTATCCTACCAATTTTGTCCTCCACCCACCAATTTAGAAGGAATGTTTAAGCAAGGATTCACAACCATCATAGTTCAATTCACTTCAAAATTAACTGTGACTCAATATACTCACCATCTCGTATTCCTCCTAACTTCGCAACAAAATCAGCAAATAGATAAAAACAACATCACTTATCCATTTCAAAATCAAATGAGAAGTGAGAGCAACACAACTAGCACTAGAAACAAATTCCCACAATCTATATGCTCCACTAAGCTGACACTTTCCCCATTCTCACACCAAAAACATCATACAAGCAAAACCCAAGATTCCTTTTCCTACTCCATTCCAAAACTTTCTCAGAAACCAAACAGAACCCACTACTCGTACCTCAGCATAGTTCCCTTTCCTGCGAGTAACACGCCCAATGAAGCGCTCACCAGGCAGTGCACGGTCACACATGACAACGAACCCAGTGTCAGCAACCTTGCACATACCTTTCCCTTTGAAAGCCAAAGACTCGCAAACCAGTTCCAGAGTCTGGCCTCGCTTTGGGAAATATGAGCTGGGTTTGTCGGTTTTGGGTTGGGCCAGCTCTGAATCTTCCGTGAAATGGGACGGTAGAGAAGCCAGCGAGGTTGAGCTACGGAAGGTTCTGAGCCACGGGCGCATGGTGGTCACGTGCCTCAGGCCGTGGCCCGGCATGGTCGCCATTTTTCGGAGATAGTTCTCGTCTGTGTCGGAGGGAAAAGAAGAAGAAAGAAGACGACGATTGAATGTTAAAAATTCAGGATAGAGGGTATTTTGGGAAGTTTAAAAGAACACAAAGAACGACGACGTTTAAAGAACAAACATATGAGGTTTTAGTCAAACGACGCCGTTTGACGGAATGAAATGACCTTTAAATAGTCCACAACTCCAGCTGCACCAAAACCCTAATATCAGAGAGAAGCGCGCTAACGCACACATAGAGCTTCCATCTCTCTCATTCTCTCTGACGGCAAGAGCAGCTTCTACGATCAACTATGGGTATGCTTTGATAGAGTTTTATTTTCCTTTCTTGTATGGATTTTGGCGATATTTGATTGGTTTGTGACGGTGAGTGTGTGCTGTGCAGGAAAGGTTCACGGATCGCTCGCACGTGCCGGGAAGGTTAGGGGCCAGACCCCAAAGGTTGCCAAGCAAGACAAGAAGAAGAAGCCCAGAGGCCGCGCCCACAAGCGTATGCAGTACAACAGGAGATTCGTCACAGCCGGTAAGCTCATCACTCTCACTTTCTTACATTGATTATTTTATTTTATTTTTTTAATTAGGGTTTTTTTGGATTTGATAGCTTTGTTCAATTGAAGTCTGTGGGTTTTGTCTACGGGTATTGAAATGTGATGTTGGTTTTTAATTCTAGTGTTGTTGGATGTGGTATTGGTTGTTTTGGTGTAGCTGTGGATGGAAATATTTTATTTAAGCATGTGTTTGGGGAACACAGGTTTATGATTTGGAGGTACTGATTATACTTTTGGTTCAATTTGCAGTTGTTGGATTCGGAAAGAAGAGGGGGCCTAACTCTTCCGAGAAGTAAGGTTGCTCTGTGGGGACTTTTGCTGGTTTCTTACGAGGCATTAGTTTCATTTTGAAGTACGGATTTTGTAGTCAAACTATGGTTTAGATTTTCTACCGGCTCTGTTTAATTGTTCGGATTGAAAAATGCTTATTAATATGTGCTACTTTTGACCTCATGATTGTGTGCTATTGTTCTTCGTAAGTTTTGATCTGCTCACGCCTCACTGTTCCAATTTTAGAATTGATTTTTGGTATATCTGGTGCCATGCAACCCTTGTATGTGCCTACAAGAAATTACTGATGTTCTCGAATACATGAGGGTTGAAAAGTTAAGGAGTAGTTTGTGTTTCTCATATATCTTAGTTTCATCGATGATATCTTTAGCTTTCGGTTGTTTGCCTCTCACAAGCCATTTGTGACAGTTCCCTTTTCCACAACTGACAACATTGCTCCTATCTTAACAACAGCATCACTGTTTCACTCCCTTCCCATAGACTCTGACCTTGAGTGATATCCTATTTTTCCTTCTCAAGGCGACCTATCTTTTCAGCTCCAATCTTTTAGGTTTAGACTAGCTTCTGGTTCTCTTTTTCTTTTCAGGTCCTAAGTTTTTGAAACAGAGATCTTTGTATTCTGGGTTATCCTCTTCATTTAGTAGAAGAAAATAGTGAAACACATTTCCTCAAATTAGGTGTTCCTTGGTGGAACAAGAGCTAGAGTCAGACCAAAGTACGGCCCTTCCAAAGTTGGCCTTTTAAAGAGACCCAGAATGTAAAACCCAGTTCTAGATGTTGTAGTTAAATAGACGAGTTGGTTTTTGAATAAGAGGTACAAAGAACATGGATTTTGAAGGTTGAACAGGATGAGTATATATGAGGAACAGAGTGATACTTGTGAAATCTGCCTTGATGATTGATCCACATAAGAAGCTGGATGAAATACCAGAGATAAACTTAGTTTCTTGGAACATGATAATTGGAGGCCTTATTATTGACTGGGGCGTTCGAGTCAAGTGGATTAATATTGCTGTAGGTTACGAACATTTAGGGCTGTCTTTACTGCAGGACAGTTTCATTCATGTTCCTTGAGGGTTGGTGTAGATGTTGATACGCAGCTCTTGTGCATTGGTTTACCATGTATTGTATGTGTATCTTGGCACCCATCTTTTCTAGAGGGAGATGGATGATGCTGATTGTGATTTTGATGGAACACCATCAGATTCATAGCGAAGAGAGGGTGTAAAGAAGCGATTTGTTTGGCTGTGGATGTGATGTGAAAAGTAGAGATAGTTTGAGTTGTTGTGGTTTTCTTGATTGTCCTTTGAATAAGACATGGAGGTTGGAATGTTTTAGGAGTGGAAAAGGGCAAGTCCTTTTATGCTGCCAAAGAGGCTTTTGATTCTATTGTAAGCAACTAGAATTGAGGTGGGTAGGAGTTGGAGGGTGGTTATGGAGACAACATCATAGCCTCTTGTTTTTAAACCTTTTTATTGAAAAATAAATAAATTGTTTTTGTTGTTTTAAACATTTTTACGAGGCAAAGCTCGGAGAATCCAACCCTTGCTGCATATGACTATGTATATTTCAGAGCCGTATTCCAGTACTTCCTTAAGGTTGACTTCGATGAAAATATTCTCATACGGAGCCAATGAGAGTCCAATTGTCAAATGTTGAGTTTCTCAACGTGTTGTCCAGTAACGTTTACTTCATGATAAGATAAACGTTTAATATCAAAGGAAAAGACAAGAAGAAAAGAGAAAAAGCCTTGAGGCCTGCCAATTGATATGTCGTTGTTCACACAGCCGTTTCGCTTATCAGTCATTTCGTAAAGGAATACAAAAGAGACAGAGAAACCAAAAACCACCACCTTTTAGCAAAAATTGAATCGAATAAAAATATTCCCACACATGATGTGATTCTCTTTATTTGGAGTAATTTTTGCATATTTCGGGTACACCAGGTTATACATGGGGCATGTCGAAATATTTTGTTTTTATTTTTAAAAAGCAGTGCAGTAAGTTGGAGATGTATTTAGTTGGGGTTAAAGACTCGTATAATTGGTAACAAAGGTTCTAATTAAAATTACTGATAACATTCCTATGAGGGTTCTTCTTAAATTTGTTATAGATGGGTTTGGGCAAGTTTTAATATAAAAATTCAAAGATTTTATTTGAACAAAAAGGAAAGAAAAAAAAATCAAAGGAATTTTGGAAAGAATTAAGGGAAACTGAGAAAGTGGAACCAATTGATTGACATAGCAAACTAGCCAGAGCCCTAACACGTGCACAAAGAAGAAGCCACAAAACACACACAAACGCAGGAAGAAAACATTAAAACACAAGGCATAAGACCGCGTATTTGCCTTTGCCTTGCTTTCCCCAAACTCCAAAACGACCAAAACAAAACAAAATCCCCCAAGACACCCTCCTCGGTTTTTCCACCACCCTCATACACTCTCTGTTTGTCACTCTCTCTCTCTCTCTCTCTCTCTCTCTTGAATGCTTCAGTTTTACTTTTCTCTTCCTACCTTTTTTTAAAGTTTCAAACAGCCCACGGGACATATAAAAACAGAGAGGAAACAGAGCCCCTTAAACCTCTCTCTCTCTCATCACAAACAAAGCACAAATTCATTCCCTCGTTCATTCAATGGAAGCCAGCGCAACTCAACACAATTGAAGTGACAAAAGTGTGAACCGATCTGCTTTGGTTCCTCAAACGTATCTGGCATTTACTCAGCCACAAATAGCCCTGTTTGTGCAACGCACATGGTAATAATAGATTCTTCCCCGTTTCGTTTTTTCCTTTTTTTGTCTCTCTCTGTCACCATGTTGCATGTTTATTCATATTTGCCAAGAAGATGGGAATATTAGCTTGTGATTTGAATTCTGATCCGAAACTTTCCTGTTCTTGCCTAGAGCCTTGTGTTTAACGAATCTCATGTTTGGCAAAAGGACTGATGTTCTTGACTTATTGATGTGATCTTGATCTGGTTGAATCTGTGATGCATTATGGGCTTCCGTTGTTGCATATGTTTGAAAACCCATACCGCAAAAACCAAACTTTCTTCATTATTCTTATTGTAAAGTGCTATTTCAGAATCTGGGGGAATTCAAATTTAAAAAACGGGTGTTGCTGAATCAGATGTTTTTCAGACCAAAAAAATAAATCAGACGTTTTGAAAATTACATAACCCAGAACTTGAATTTGAATATTTTTTTTCTTTGCTGACAGTTGGGTTTGATTGAGATTTGAATCAAGATGCAGTCAAGGGTGGTGGCATTGGAGGAAGGCAAGGACCCTGCTACTGCATTTAAATCCAGCCATGCTAGGGCCTTGCCTTTGAGACTAGTTCAATTTCTTGTGATGTTTGTAGTTCTGGGTATCGGGGTTTCGATTTTGAGTATGCACACGATTCGGTTTTTTGGAGTTCAACATGTGGCTCCAACAGCACCATCCACTATTAGGCCTTGCTTTGAAGAGCCAAGCAGTTTAGAAAGCCGGATTAGACCTCCATCTAATCTGTTGCACGCCATGAATGACACAGAGTTGCTGTGGCTGGCTTCATCTGCTCCTCAAATAAACGACTATCCTTTTAAAAGAGTTCCCAAGATTGCTTTCATGTTCTTAACTAAGGGACCATTGCCAATGGAGCCTCTTTGGGAGCGGTTTTTTAAAGGACACGAAGGGCTTTACTCAATCTACGTCCATTCACTGCCATCTTATAATCCTAACTTCTCGCCTTCGTCAGTGTTTCACAAGAGACAAATCCCAAGCCAGGTATCTTAAGTCATTTCATAATTATTACTAGTGCTCCTACATGCTTTTTGACAGTTCTCTAGAATGATTCTTACCCAGATTTTCTTAATGGCGTTCCTCTCATTGAATTTGTTTCATGCATTTGGTGTGCATCTTGTGAGATGGTGCCCTATTTGTGGTTTAATAATTAGGGGAAGTGTAAACTTGCCAATAATGAAAATGACTTGATCAATAGAGCCAGAATAATTTCTCCAGTCTCTCAGCTGTCAAAATCTGTCCTTTAGGTTGTACACTGGGTTATGAAGATTGTATGCTGATGTACTTTGCATTGTATATTTAAAAGGAATACTTTTGAATTTTTCATTTAAAAGGTATTGAAGGATGAGCTCCTGCAGCCCATGTATGATCTAGAAATCTTTATTTGCTGTTCTTATGTTGTTTCAATTCTGTAAGCTTTTAACTTTCCCAACTTTGATCAAATAAAAAGACCTTGTCTGAATCATATGTCAATTCTTGCCATGTATTGGTGTTGGTTAGGAGCATTCTGTGACCATCCTTGTACAGCGCGCATTTTGCTTCCACATTTACCAACGTCTATGCACTGCAATGGAGTATCTAGTGAGAGTAATAAGTTCATTGATCAGTAGGGAACGTGTTTCGGTTACAGAAAAGGGCACTTGATTATCAAACATTAGATACCTTTATGTATACACAGAAACAATTTCTCTGACATGCCTCTTTCCTACATTTAGCACTTTATATTGACAACATTAGAACATTTATTTTTTAACTTGGTTAATTTTATGGCAGCCAATTCTTTGACAAGATTCGGGCACCTCAATAATTTTCTATGGCATCTTAAGCATATTTTTTGGAACTTGTTCTCTTGTATTAAGACCTGTGACCATTTATATTCTATGATTCAGGTAGCAGAGTGGGGAGAGATGAGTATGTGTGATGCTGAGAGGAGACTCCTAGCTAATGCGTTGCTCGACATCTCAAATGAATGGTTTGTCCTCCTTTCTGAGGCATGTATTCCTCTCTACAACTTAAGCATTGTATATCACTACCTATCAAGATCCAGGTACAGCTTTATGGGTTCATTTGATGAAATTGGACCATACGGGAGAGGACGCTATGACGAACGCATGGCTCCTTTGGTCAATCTCACTGAGTGGCGTAAAGGGTCTCAGTGGTTTGAGATTAATCGGAAACTTGCAGTTAGGATTGTAGGAGACACAACTTACTACCCTAAGTTCAGAGACTTTTGCAAACCAGCATGTTATGTGGATGAGCACTACTTTCAGACAATGCTTAGCATCGAGACTCCACATCTTTTGGCAAACAGGACCCTTACTTACGTGGACTGGTCAAGAGGTGGTGCTCATCCAGCTACATTCGGCAAAGCTGATATTACAGAGGAGTTCTTCAAGAAAATTGCTGGAAGTGACACATGTCTTTACAACAACCAGCCAACCTCACTCTGTTTTCTTTTTGCAAGAAAGTTTGCCCCAAGTGCTTTGGAACCTCTATTAGAATTAGCATCCAAAGTATTTGGATTTTGACATATCATTGGCTTCTAAACTGCATGTTTGGCGAAGTTCTGATTGGAGCATGCGAGTGTAGTTTTGAGTTAACCCCAGACCTGTCTGCTGAGATTGATTCCTTTTTACCCAAATTCAATAGGTTTTTTGAAACTTAATGTTAAAGCATATTGTATGTATAGAAAAATAGGACCTAAAAAGTAGCATCTTAGAAATTTTTCTGGTACAATAATGATTTATATTCATATCTGGTGGGGAATTGATTGAATGTAGTTCTACTGAATCATATTTCATTCAATAAATATCCTGACCTATTTCTTTTTCTATTTCTGAAATTTTCTTACTCCATTTCTAGTACTTAAAAAACAATCTCCTGATTCAATGCCACCTTGAAGTTTGGGTTTTTTATTTTTATGAAGCCGTGGGGAATTCGGATGCAAAGATAATTGCTCTTGATTACTTGATATATCTCAACATAGTTTACATTACATAGGGGATAAAATATATTGAAAAGATTAACCTCCCCTCTAACTCTCTCTATTTAAACCTCATTAACGAAATGCCTGCAGCCTAGAGAAAAACAAAATAGTCACTTGTGTAATAATAGTATGTCTACAAGTTTGAGCCCTTCATGTAGAATCCCTTCTAGTGCAGGGGCCTCTATAATGGTCTGAGGCAAAATGCTCATCGTTGTACAATTTCTGAACTCTCATCACGGAAAGAGGAAGACCATCAGTTTAGAAAGAGAGGACCAAGACGTTACCCAAAAAACACTGTAGATCTTATTATCAGCAAATGCGTGTATCGTGGAGCATCATCCAATTTATTTGACAAATATGATCTCAAAATTACCACATCAATGAGAGCTAAACCTTGGTATATTTGTGTATAATTTACCTGGGAAAGAATCATTTTAGTGCACAGTTGCTGCAATATGAATCTCATCCTCCAATACTCAATGACGACTTGGTAATGTTTGAACCAAAAAATTAGTCACGAAGCCCTTTATAATTCATCATGGTATTCTTGTGCTGGCAAAGGAACTTCCTGTTGGAGTTCAAGCAAATACCTAATAGCCAAAGAAGCGTGAAGTGCAGCACCAAAAGGAAGTGCATCTTCATTTATTTGGAAGTGAGGTGAATGTGGCATATGCAGAGGTCCAAGTTTGTCATCTGCCATTCCAAGCAAGAAAAAGTATCCAGGTATTGCCTCTTGGTAATATGCAAAATCCTCAGATCCCATCAATGGTTGATGGTCTTTGACTCTGTGGATGCCAAGCATATCTCCAGCTACATTCCGGAAGTGTTCGTGCAGGTCCTTATGGTTTATGGTCGGGGGTGACAAAGGTTTCTCATCTTCAAGGAAATTGACAGTTGCACTGCACCTTTGTACAGAAGCTTGTCCCATTATGACCTATCAAAAGAAGCAAATCAGATTTTTGTTGCCAAAGTTTTGGAATGTGTGGTTGTTTGTATAAGAAGAAAAACTATTTACACAGCACTTAAAGACGAAACCAAAATGGCCCTCAACAAAGTATCAATATGAAAATAATTAAGTACTGAACTAATTATTTTCTTTGAATATATTCAAGAAAACAAAGAAATCAATCAATCCTTTCATAATATACATATTACATGTGTGATTTGACTGACCTCCTTAATGCGCTGCTTGAGTTGCATTAAGCTCTCCCTTGTAAAGGCACGGAAAGTGCCACCAATTCTGACAGAATCTGGAATAACATTGAATGCATCACCTCCTTGAAATTTTCCAACCGTGACTACCTGAAAATATATGCTTTAGTTGATTTGAGAGCATTTACAAAATAAATAACGTTGCTAATCATGAATTAAGGAAGCCAATACTTTATGCAAATGCACTAAGTTCTAACAGGAGCAGCACAAATGACATGAATTTCCAAAGGATAGGATTATTGGAGGATAAGAAATTGGTGAACAAAATATTTGAAAGTTGACGCTAGAGTATAAGATTCCTTCAGTTCTCTTCAAGAGAAGTTCAATAATATTTGATAATACTCTTGCATCATCAGAGAGTAATTAAATATCTGATGTCTGACCACCCCTTATAGCCTCCCATATTTGAAAATGAAAAATGAGGTTTTTCTCTTCCTCTCATTTCCTCTTCAATCTTCATTAATGGCTGTAGGTGGGACAGGTCTGTGATTTTAATCTACTTCCGAATACCTTAAGTATCGTTCGGTCTTCCTGCAACACCCACCCCACCATAAAAAGGAAAGCTCTTCCTCTGTATCTCAATGTTGCCATTTTCCTTATCACAAAGTTTATTTCTATACAACCAAAGACTGTAGAACAATGCAGTTGGGATAGTTTCAGACAGTCACTACTATGTTAGACTGCACACCAAAATGCAGAACACCACTGTAATAACTAGTGCTGCAGTCATTTTACAAAGGGATCAATCTAAAGTAGGTGCTCAGTTATCATTGTTTAACAAAAGCAAGCAGCAAGCAGTGCCATCTATATTCCAATCAAGTTATCGAAATTTTTCAGTGAGAACGGACAAGTGTAAACAATCTAAGTAAGAACCCAAACAAGGAATCAATACTCCATAGAAACTGTAATAAGATTGGTTCACACTACATAAGAATGTAACAGGTTTTACCTGTGAGTCAAGTGGATCAGCTTCACGTGAAACAAGATGTTGCAAGCTGACAATCACATTTGACGCTGCCAGTATCGGGTCAATTGCATGCTGAGGAATGGCTGCATGACCGCCTTTTCCACTTATTGTGGCTTCAAAGAAGCCACTTCCTGCAAAAAAGGGACCAGGTCTGGAGGCCACTTCAGCTATAGGTACGCGGTTTGCAACATGCAACCCAAAAATAGCATTAACATTCTCTAATGCTCCACCATCTATCATTTTCTTAGCCCCTGCTCCTCCTTCCTCTGCTGGTTGAAATAGAAGAACAACTGTTCCCTGTTAAGACAACAATATTTGGATGATATCAGGCATCCAGAAAATAACTATCTTATGAGAATAATAAAATTCGCAATAGCCTATGAAGCCGTTTATACATGTTATCCATATAAAATACATATAATTTCTCCTATGCAGACGTCCGGAAGTTATTAGTGTGTGGACACCATGTATTTTCTACTACCCCTCCCTGCTTTCCTCCTTGTTTACAATGGCAATGCATGGACAAAAGCTTTTTCCTAATCCCCTAATTCTTGTATGTAATTTTTACCAATTAAAGTCAGGAGTGTTGTAGAGTAACTAGTGAACAACAACAGAATGTAATATTTTCTAAAAAATGAATGAAACATTAACTACAAGTTCAACAAAACAAACCTGTAAATCTTTCTCATGTTCTTTAAGGATCTTTGCCCCACCAAGAAGCATTGCAACATGAGCATCATGCCCACATGCGTGCATTTTCCCAGGAACTTTACTCTTGTGCTCCCACTCCACCATTTCCTATAAAAACATTTGATCAAGTTCAGAACAAAAGGATGGGAATGGGGTTTCAGGCTTTTATAAATTCATAATAACCAAACCTGCATAGCCAGAGCATCCATATCAGCTCTTATTGCAACAAAAGGCGGTTTTCCGGTGCCAATGAACCCTACAACACCTGTAACCGCAATTGGGTATTTATAGTCAATACCCATTTTATCCAATTCTGCTCTGACCAGCTTACTGGTTTCAAATTCCTCATAACCCAGTTCTGGGTTTTCATGTATTTTCCTTCTGATTCCCAACATCCAATCAAACACTTGAGGTTTCTGGGCAAAATCAAGTAACTTGAAGGGGATTTCTGAGAGCCCATTTGAGCTCACAGAGGAACTTGTGAATATAGTTGTTGGACCAAACACAAAAAGGACCATAATCAAAGAGACTTGCATGTGGAACTCCATGATCTTTCTGAAACTGAAAGCTTGGCTGATGATTGAAAGTACAAGAGAAAGTAAAGAAAGCTAAGTCATATAAAAAAGAGTGCGAGTTTAGCAAAATATGTACAAAAACATTGGAAAATTGGTGGCTGCTTGTGCTGGTCAGACAGACTGCTCAGTCAAACAGCTGCTGTAGGACAAGATATGAGTCAATTTAAGTGTGAAAAATTAAATATATCGGCTCAAAGTTAGTAAGAAATATTGTAAGAGATTAGGATTTTATTTTATATTAGCTATCTTAATCATATCATATCATTAATAAATCATTGAGAATTTAAGCAACGATATAAATTCAAGTCTTTCAACTTCCTTGGCGTGACAAAGGAAAACACCTAAATAATAACTTACACAATGATTAAGGCTCATGACTCAGATTCTTCATGTGCTTGCAGAGGCTTTTGCCACGTCTAGGGGGAAGTAAATAAAAGCTGCTGAATGTCTTGGCAAATATTGGGCTGAATTGTGATCTGGGTTGTAGTGGTCAAGCTAGGCCTTTATCTCTGTTTTGGTTTGGGCTCCGTATTTAACCTCAAGAGAGAAAATCCAACTACTATTATGTCTTCGGCAAAAAATTTGTTTAATCCCATTTGACCAAAAAGAACATATATTTAGGGAGCTGATTTTTCCACTCTTTTATTGTTTTGTTGGAAATTGTATGTTCTCACTCCTCTTTTGCTTACTCTACAAAAAGGAAGTGGGAAAATCAACATCTTATATTTAATCTCATTCGTAGATATGAGCTTAGCCAAGTTGGCTAAATCAAATGTGCTCACTATTATACACCCGAGTTCGAATCCCCTCCCCATAATTTAGATTAGTTTAAAGTAGATTATAGTTTGTATAAAAGAAAACATAAAAAAATCTATCTTGATTCATCAAGTGAAAACTTTACAGTTTTGATTTTTTTTTATTCTCGTAATTTTTGAACCATAATATACCTGACAAGCATAGCATCGAAATTGTTAAAATTTTAAATTGTGAGTATTTTAATCACAAAGTAGCTCAAATGTCAAATTTTTAAATTTTCTCTCTATGGAACATAATGGTTGTAGGGGCTTTTTTTGTTCCAGCAGTTACAGATGGCCCTGGGATGCTGTAAAGAGCAAATAGACGAAGTTGTCCTTCTGCCTGAGTTCAAGAATCAGGCTTCAAGAGTCCTTCGAAAGGTTCGTAGAACCTTAGGAAGCACCTTGGTTTCTTTCACCAACAAAACAAACAGTTGCTTACAGATCAATATTGTGGCTTGGTCTGAGAAGCTTGTGACATGATAGCTGAGCTTTCATGAGTTTAGCATTAAAAAGAGAAAGCTTGGATTCTTATGAGAAACAGAGATTCAAAGTAAGGGAAGAAGAGAATTTGGGAAGATTTTGATGAGGGATGAGAGGGGAAGGTGGAAATAAAGGATAGGTGGCTTGAGTAAATTTCCAGTCGCTTGACGAAAGCTTCGTCGCACTCTTGGATAGTTTGCTTGAAGAGGAAAGAAGAAGATGGTAGAACAAGGCTTGAAATTGAAGGTTCCAGTAGTGAGTGAGGACGCTTGCTCGCTCTGGATATGTTGATCTGCCGAGTAGGAGATGCCCCCTTTTATAGGCCTGGAAGCTCATTCTTCCCAAGAAACCCTAGCTGGTTCTCCCCAAATTTGCCAAGTCTTCTCCTCCATTTCTCTTCTGTTCCTTTGATTCAACCTCTTTTTATGAAATTTCCTTAATCCAAACACACTAGGACAAGATTTTTTGGAGCTATAGAGTCTTCCTGAAAATGGTCTTTGTGGCACCTTCCTATCCTTGACAACGCTCTCCCTTTCTTTCCTTCCATATTTTTTGGCAAGAGTTGGTAAGAGAAAAAAGTGGGTAAAGGTGCTAGTCTGAAGGGTGTTTTACTCCCAGCAACCTGTACACGTGAATTCCCTTTGGTTTTAACGATGGTTTGTCTTGGATTTGACTCTAGTCATGTGTTGGAGGTTTCTTGGGATATTCTCAAGTTGCTGGGCCACTTCCTAAGGTGATGGGCCACTTTTCCTCTCTCATGCTTACCCATATATATGGGCTCGAGTTTTAGTGCTCTCAAGCAGCCCAAAACTTCCACTTATTGGACCATCAATGGGCCTCATGAATACTCGTAACCATTCATACCATAACCCGCTCAGCAAGCCCCAAGTATTTGCGTGATTTGGGCCCACTTAAGCTTGTAGTGTGGCTTGGTACCCAAAATAAAGATTCCGCTTGGTGTCACGTGTTATTTGGAATGCTTGTGCTCAAGCTTCGCCGTATTGTAAAGGGCTATGGCTGAGCCAGATGGCGCTTGACGGGATAATAAGCATGGGTTCGTAGAGCCAGTACATTTTATAGGCTTGTCACAACCTTTCTACGTGGTGGGTTACGTATTTGCTTAGCACGGCATGTGGATTATGACTCATGCAAGTGCACATGACGAACTCTTGTGTACCCAAGTCAGGCTTCTTCCCTAGTTAGGTGTTGTAATGGGCCAGAAATATATTAGGCTCAACCTTGGATTTTTTGGGCCCCAACAATAGTTTAAATTGGAAAAAGAGAAATTGTATGTAAACCTCATTCACAAAACACAAATTGTTTTAATTACAAGTAATATCTACTAATGCCAACAAGAACTTGTTAGTCTTTCTCGGATCTGATCTTTGCTTCACCAAGAAGTAAAGGTCCAATTTGTAATTTTATTGAATTTTTGTGCCGTTTTAATAATGCGAAGCACAAAAAAGGTCGTATCAAGCATTAAATAATTGATGGAGTTACAAACTTAACCTTAATTGCAAACTAAAAGAAATAGGAAAATATTCCCTCCTTATCATGCAAGAAAGAGCTCTTACATTTCCATCAATAGTATGACATGTGTGCAAAAGTTTTTCTTTTTGTATTTTTAACGAATTATCTCCGCAATAACAAGAGTTTGATTACAATTATATAAACTACAAGTATTAAAATTATATTTTTTTTTATGTTTTTTACGTAGACCATATAAGTGAAACGTAATATAGAAGGGGAAGAAAAATCAACCTATACCATGCCGGTTGATTCGTTTTTAAAGAAACGTAAAAACCCTTGGCTGTCGTTTGACTCGCGCAGAGACTCTTCTTGGGGAGAGCGCAGGCGAGGTAATTTTCGCAATTCTGATACCCCGCGTCTCCTTGCCCCTTTCTTCCTCGTATTCAATTGGATTGGTATTCGATGATCCTTTGTTTCATATTAGATTTTCATGTTGAAGATTGATGCTTTGTTTGGTTGCGAGAATATATATAAATTCTGAATCTTGATCTCATATTTTTTTATACGTTAAAACTTACAACCCAATTGGGTTTTGGTGCAATTGCTTCTCTTAAACTCATTTATTTCATTAAATTTTGAGTTTTTCTTTTCCTTTTTACTATTTAGATGATCAAGAACTGAACTTGATTATGGAAACATATCGTTGCCCTAACTCGATATGGTTTACATGGAAAATAATGTGTTTGATGAAGTTATGAACTTTATTTTGGTTGCAGAATTTTTAAGGTTTTAAAGTGTGTTCATTGTTTGAATTTCTTGATTTTTCTTTTAAGGATGAACAGTAATCGCGGATAAGACTGTTTTCTTTTATTTCTGTGAAATTTGTTATTGGGTGGCAATACTCTCGATGAACAAGGACCATAGTTCTAGCATGGGATGTGAGATTCTGTAACCATTGGGCTGAAGCCCTGCAATCTGAAGCAAAATCCCTATGGATCTTTATGTTTGTTTTTCTTGTAAGTTAGTCTGAATTTGTTGGCTGATTATTTTATTTTATGTTCACGGAGAGACAAAACAACCATCTATAGTAAATGGGGCTTTTTGTTTGTGTCTGTTTGTGTTTGTGTGTGTGGAGTAATTTTTCTTTTCTTGAACAGTGTTTTTTAAGTATGGAAACTCTTTGGTCATAACATGAACTATTTTGCAATTAGGTCCCTTCCAAGTAGTAAACTGATGATGTTGAAGAGAGCCCTGCAGAATCTGAGAGTACCTTCGGAAAGTAAAAGGAAAAGAAACTCTAGCACGGTATATGATAAAACCTGTGCTATTGATTTGTGTGCAGAAGCATCTGGAGCTCACAGAAAACGAAAGAGAGAACAATTTAGTATCATTGACAAGAACGTTAAGCTTAAAAAGCAGCAAACTGCTAAAGATTCAAATAGCGTGGACAAAAGAGTTGTATCCATGGATTATATCTCACAATTGCCTGATACTGTCATCCATATCATCCTCTCTCTACTTCGTAGTACAAAAGATGCTGCTCGAACCAGTATCTTGTCTAAGAGGTGGAGGGACGTGTGGACCTCTTTCACTGTTTTGACATTCGACCAACGCACGTTTCAAGAACTAGAGGGAGTTCAAAGTATGGAGAACTGCAATAAGGTGTTTATGCAGTTTATTGATAAGTCTCTCCAGAGCCACCTGGATCGTAAGTTAGGTATATATAAATTTGTTCTACATTTAACCACATATGATCCAGCATTGGTTCATCATATGGAACGGTGGTTTGGAATTGCAACTGCAAATAACGCAAAAGAGCTAGGTTTCCATGTTCATGTGAAAGGAACTAGGCCCTACATTTTGCCCAAGAATGTCTTTGCTGCAGAAGGAATAACTGGATTAAGGCTGCAAGGCTGTAAACTTGAAACTTGCAGTATTATAAAGCTTCCTCATCTGCAAAAGCTATATATGCGAAATCTTCGTGTTGATCAACAGATAATTATGAATCTCATTTCCAGCTGCCCTCTAATTGATGATTTGAGACTCATACAATGCTCGGGGTTAAGCTGTTTGGACATTTCAAGTCTTCTTAAACTTGATAGGGTCGAGGTACACTGCTGCAATTTACTCAAGAAGATTGATATTACAGCTCCTAGTCTTCAAGCATTTTGGTATTGCGGGAAGAAACAAGTGTCCTGCAAAATTAACTTGAAAGATTGCGAGTCTCTGAAAAGACTGACACTAGAAGACAGTAGAATGACAAACAACCAGTTTCATGGTCGATTCTTCAGTTTTCCTCTCCTAGAGAAACTGGAGCTAAGTAACTGCCTCAAGTTGACGAATATTAGAATTGGAAGTCATCGGCTGAACAGACTAGTCTTAAGAGGTTGCAAGAATCTAG